CGCGATATTTTGGTAATAATCAGTCGTAGGAAAGCAAGTAGAAAAAGTCCAAGTATCTCAGACGACTGGAATGGGCCAGAAATCTTTAGCCTTTCTCGAACTTTAGAAATTTCTAGGCAATAATTGCTCCTTGCCATATTTGTTCTGTTCGAACAGTTATTTTCAGAAAAAATGTCGCCAGTTTGGTGCCTCTGATAACTTCCCATGAACGTGCCAACTTCAAACTGTTTTGAGTAGGAAATATTGAGCGGAAATGTTATTTGATGGCATCATCAGTTTTAAGTTGAGTCGTACGGTATTGTATTCATATCGCGGGCCTGTAGATAAGTTTAAAGGGTATGCTATTAATTATTAAGGGGCTCCCAACGAGAATATAGTTCAAAACCACTTAAACATGTATTGTTCAACGCATTTTAGTATTTAAACTGTAGATATAGGCATATTTTTATCCCCGAAAAATTGTTCATCTGTTGGAATTTCCTAGCTGAAAGCGTAGTGATCCGAAAATTATAGGGATTAAAACTTACCGTTCGAAAATTTCAGCCAGAAAAAAGACTAGGTGACCTTTTTAGGGTAAAAATCCGTTAAAAATGGGCACTTATACCATTTTTTAGATGTTCGAAAATCCTAGGAGAGGCAGGCAAGCAAGAAATATTACAATAAATGTTCCGAAAATTCTAGATCTCAAATCGTCTTTGGAACAGATATTTTCCAAAAATTGACGTTGGGCGCCCCTGATTGCATGGCATCCATTTTACAATATTACCGTACGGTTGCCGGCTAAATTTCATACAGCTCTTTTTTACCTTGGCTGGTTGAGACATTCTTGATAAATGTTTTCATTCGTCCCAAAACAAGTTGCCAGTATGGAAGAAAGTAACTGCTATACTATATGATTCCTGGCGTTAATTTTTATTATAGCTTAACTAAGTTATGCAACTACCCCATGATGTCAAATTAGATCTCATCACGCTCGTAGCCTGACGCCTGCCACGCAGACTAGTCACGCTCGTGACGTCCTCATCGTAACCATAGGTAGTCTAAGCTCGAAGTATGAGCATCGGGAGCATCGGCATTGTTGGGTAACATTCGAAATATAAGGGATCAAAACTTACCTTTTCGAAAATTTCAGCCAGAAAAAACGTTCCCGAAAATTCTAGGTGACCTTTTTAGGGTAAAAATCCGTTAAAAAATGGGCAATTATACCATTTTTTAGATGTTCGAAAATCCTAGGGGAGGCAGGCAAGCAAGAAATTTTACGACAAATGTTCTGAAAATTCTAGATCTCAAATCGTCTTCCGAACAGATATTTTCCAAAAATTGACGTTGGGTGCCCCTGTATTCCATCTCGTTAAATTCGTCAAATTCTGGCAATTTTTTCTGGAGTTGAATTCTAAATTGAGTGTAACAAAGTTCAGGAAACGGAAAAGCAAAGTCGTTGTCACGGTCTCGTGTTCACGTCCTCCACAATGGGTGAAGTTAGGCAGTGACGGCAAAGAAATGTACAAAAAGGAATGATGCACGTGCAGAGTTGTTGTTTTGCGTAATAAACCCATTGCTGTTTTGCTGTTCTCGTTGGCGTCAACGTCATCGTTGCTTAAGCTCCCTTTGAGGGGATGGGGCGTCTGGTAACACATTGCTCAAGTTTTCGCCAAAAATTGCCGCCTTATAAATTAAGTTATGAAAGAAAACAACTTTGTTTTCTTTGGCTGTTGTTGTTGTTGTGTGTGTTTTTTTAGACAACAAAATTTTATGCTTGCTTCTTCAACGCTCAAGACAATCAAAAGCTTTATTCATAGGCCCGGGCAGAAGCGTAAACCTATAAAGCCATGCTTCTGGCCTGGGTTAAGCGCCATACCACACATGAGCCAAATTCAACTGATTTTTGCTCATTGATCAGGGCTTTAACAGGAGTATGCATGGAGAGTACACGTCTTTACTTGCCAACTCTCGTGGTTTAGGTGTGAGTATCACCCCTAGGCTATGCAGATCATATGAAGATAAACCCGAAGACACTGAAACCGAAAAACAAAATGACCACTTGTAAAAGAGCAAACTTACCCCGCAACAAACCAACTACGCGACAGACAAGCCACACGAACGACTTCGTAAACGCTAAAACAGGGGCACCCAACGAAGGTTTCCTCCAAAATACGTTGAAAACACTTTTTAGGCTATCAAGAGTACTTTAAGATCTCTTGAAATTTATCCTAAGCGGCCCTACAAAATTTAATCTGTTCTGTCATCCTAGGGAAACGTAGGTCTTCTCGAAGTTACAAGGGCGTCAGTATTATTTTCCCGAAAATTTTAGGTGCAATTTAACTTTTTACGAAAGTGAGAATTTTCTGATTCCTCTCTCCGTCACATTTTAGAATCCGAAAATTTCAGGTTTCCTTTTTCTAAGAAAAATAGTGTAACCTGGGTAGTAAAATATGAAAAATTATACTTAAGAAAATCGTAGGGAATTTATTATTTTTTAATTTTATTTTATTAGCTTCGCCAAAAAAAACAACAAACAAACAAACAAACAAACAGACAAACAGAAAGAACCATGGCGGGAACACCGCACCACACCGTAATTTTTAGGGAGTTATTATAACTCCAAAAATGGAGTAAAAATTTTAGGTACAGGATAACCCCTTTTTGGGGGTTATTTTAACTCCTAATTTAACTCCGAATTTGGGGTCATTTTTACTCCTGAAAAAGAGTTCTTTTTAGTCCCAGTCTGGAGTTAAAATTATTCCGAAATGGGGTTACTTGTACTCCTTACATGGGTTGTTTTTACTCTTTTTGGAGTTAATTTAACTCTGAAAGTGGAGTAAAAATTTTAGGTACAGGATAACTCCTTTTTTGGGGTTATTTTAACTCCTCAATATCTGGGGTCACTTTTACTCCTGAAAAAGAGTTCTTTAAACTCCTTTTTGGAGTTAAAGTAACTCCACGAAAAATAACTCCACTGTAAGGAGTTAAATTAGCCCCACTAGAGGAGTTATTATAACTCCCTGAAAATTACAGTGCAGCTGTGGCCAATTACAGCGGGCCCTTATTAGATAAGCTTCGAAAATTGTACATGAATGGAACATTAATGTAGAAATTTTTAGCTATCCTCGAGCAAAAAAAATTCTAAGCAAAATTTGCTTCTTTGAACAGATATTTTACAGAAAACAGTCGTTGGGTGCCCCTCGCTAAAAGCCATGCAAGAGAGAAACCTTTGCTCCCAGGACATAGCAATCAGAGTCATGCATGTAGAGTACAAGAACAAAAGGAGACTTGCACTAGAACACAGACTAGAACCTGTAGCAAATCAGTCTTTAGGTGCCTTTGAACGTCTTTTACGTCAACGAGAACGGCAATAAGTTTAGATTAGAAAAACAAGAACTTGTAAGTTCATCACGCTTTTTAAACATCTCTTTGCCGTCACTGCACTACTACGACGCGAAAATGCCTAGTTTCTGGTTTCAGTAACATCTGTAAACCTGAAGAAGGCTGTTATGGCCAGCCGAAATATTGTTATAAAAAACAATACACGTTGTTTTAAATCAGCTTTGCAGTAGTCTTTGGACTTCTCGTTCACGCTAATTTCGATCACGTTTTGTGGAGGCATAGTAAATGACACCGGGGCAACTTTCGCTCCGGGACGATTTTACTCCGGTTCCCTCTCATGGCTCTATATTTGTTTACATGATACCACCACAAGATGTCATGCCGGGCGAGTCACTCCGGCAGAGTTCATCCCGGTTGCTGTACCGGGGCGAGGATTTCACTCCGGTACGAAATCTCGCAACAGTATCATGTAAACGTGAAACGACCACCCGTTTCGGTGTGAAATCAGTCTGCTGGCAGACTGGAACGAGTAGCGCACGCATAATGTTTGAAATTTTGAATCACACATGTATTTTATCAACATGAAGTGTACCTTCAAATAACGAGATATGAAATGACCCAGTCATCATGTAAACGCGATACCAAATTAGAAAGTCATCCCGGTATGAAACTCGCGCAGGTGCGAGTTTTCTGATCTCAGTAGAAACTAGTAGAGGTGGTGGAGGACGTAAACGGCACAAGACAACGAGTTTCTTTTTCTTTTCCTGAAATTTGATACAGTCGTTTGGAATTCAACTCCAGAAAACACTGCCAACATTTGACGAATTGAACGAGATGAAATAAGCGCGATTAAGTTTGAGGCATCACCGAGTTTGTTTTTTTTAATGAATATCCTTGGGAAGCGAAGCGATCTGTCATTTTCACGCAAGAGCGATCGCAAGAAGGAGAAAAGCACGGTTTCCTTTACGCATGAGCGGAATACAGACCACTATTTGTAGGCATGTTATTTGCAGGTCACATGGTGGACTCTCGACCAATGAAAAGACCTGAAAAATTTGCTTCGAAAGATAATAAACTTTATCAAGCAGCCCTCCCCTTCCCCAGCCCCAACTGGAACACCGTTGCGTCATTCTAATTAGCGCTAAGTTCTGACAAGAGAGGTTATCCTCTCTTGGTTCTGAACATATTGTGGCGAGCGCGGAAACAGATTCAGATTATTTTCATATGACTGTAAACTGACCAATAAAGATCTCAATCACAAAGTTTGTGGTCCTTTATCCCACACCTATTATTTCGCCAAATAAAGTGTCTGTAATTAGTAAAATGTGTTGGTAATTTTATCATTTCTACGATGTTTTACTGCTCAGTAACGGCTAAAAGCATTATAATTACAATTTGTAATCTCTAATACCCAAAGCAACAATAACAACAACAACAACAACAACAAGAATTTTCAATCCAACAAAACAACAAAAAACAGTATTCGTACCCAGGCCTGCTCATCTGTGATGTTATCCCATGAAAAGTTGCGCGAAGGGTTGCCATTGCTCAATATTGACGTAATGACAAAGTCAACTATATTTTCCTTGTGAAATCCTGCTATTATGCCATACTGTGTGTGATTTACGTTCATTCATTACATTTCTCGTACTGAGAACAGTAGAACTGCCTTCAAAATGAAGCCACACATCGAAAACGGAAACACATCAGGCCCGAATTTCAGCGACGGTGAAGAAGCTGAAAATATGTCATGGAGTTTGTCGATCACAAATGTGCCGAACGACGTTTATGACGATCAAACTACGAAGGTAAGCAGTTTTTCATTGGGAAATAGTTTGCTTAAACTTTTGTTATTGCTGTTATTGAAACTAATGGCTTTAAACGTTTTTGAATCTTACGCTTTATACTTACATGTGTTTGTAAGTAAATTTTTAAAACAGCTGCTAGTAAGCTTTCTAGGTCGAATCAGTCAGGGTTGTCATTAAGAGCCGGGGGCCGGGGATTTTTCCCGGCTACTAAGAGAGTGGACCCTGGCTACTTTTATTGGAAAATAGAACAAAAATAGAACCAAAAGAAATCCCTAGCCGTTTGATTCCTCGCCTACTTGTTGTATTTACCCGCCAACTTGAAATCTTAGTGACAACCCTGGAATCTCCTGGGAAAATGGAAATAGGTTCGAACAGTCGGGAAGTTCAGTAAAAATTATGATCGAAATTTGCAACTTCAGAATCCCCGGCCACCTTGAAGCGATATGGTCAAATGGAAGCTTCAACACTCTCCCCTTGACAACTTTTCCTTCCCTGGTTGTTGGGGGTTTTGATCCCCAAGCCTAAGGGGTGGGGAAGTTGAACTGTAGCCACAATTTCTTTCACCATACAGAGGCTTTCAAAGGGNGAAGCCACACATCGAAAACGGAAACACATCAGGCCCGAATTTCAGCGACGGTGAAGAAGCTGAAAATATGTCATGGAGTTTGTCGATCACAAATGTGCCGAACGACGTTTATGACGATCAAACTACGAAGGTAAGCAGTTTTTCATTGGGAAATAGTTTGCTTAAACTTTTGTTATTGCTGTTATTGAAACTAATGGCTTTAAACGTTTTTGAATCTTACGCTTTATACTTACATGTGTTTGTAAGTAAATTTTTAAAACAGCTGCTAGTAAGCTTTCTAGGTCGAATCAGTCAGGGTTGTCATTAAGAGCCGGGGGCCGGGGATTTTTCCCGGCTACTAAGAGAGTGGACCCTGGCTACTTTTATTGGAAAATAGAACAAAAATAGAACCAAAAGAAATCCCTAGCCGTTTGATTCCTCGCCTACTTGTTGTATTTACCCGCCAACTTGAAATCTTAGTGACAACCCTGGAATCTCCTGGGAAAATGGAAATAGGTTCGAACAGTCGGGAAGTTCAGTAAAAATTATGATCGAAATTTGCAACTTCAGAATCCCCGGCCACCTTGAAGCGATATGGTCAAATGGAAGCTTCAACACTCTCCCCTTGACAACTTTTCCTTCCCTGGTTGTTGGGGGTTTTGATCCCCAAGCCTAAGGGGTGGGGAAGTTGAACTGTAGCCACAATTTCTTTCACCATACAGAGGCTTTCAAAGGGAAAGATAAGATTGTAGGTTCTTGGCTGATTGGTTGCGAAGCAAAGGTCTACACAAGCTTTGCATTGAATATTTGGAAGATATTAAAAATGTTTTTTTTTTGTTTTTGTGATTGTTGTTTTGGATATGAATATATTAAGTAGCATAATAATAATACAGGTGATTAATAATAATTGCTTAAAAATTAATAAAGGTAAATAAGTAATAAAATAATAAATTATTATTACCTTGACTGGCTGTATGTAATGTCTATTTATTAAATTCAGCCACTTTACACAAGAGTTTTATTTGTATTGACATACCGTAAAATTCCGAAAATAAGCCCTGGGGCTTATATTTTTCAAAGGCTCTTTTTGAGGGGCTTATTTTTGGAGGGGCTTATATTTGGAGGGGCTTATCTACGGAGGGAAATTTGCATTTCAAGATCGATTGGGCTAGCCTTATAGTTGGAAATAAATTTACCGTTTTTTCTTTGTTTTACATTGTATTTGAGGGCAATTTTCCAAGTACAAGCCCCCGGGGGGCTTATATTTTGGAGGGGTGATTTAACGGAGGGTTTTTTGCGTTACCAGATTGGGGGGCTTATATTTGGAGGGGCTTATACATGGAGGGGCGTATTTTCGGAATTTTACGGTATGCCACAGTGTTTCTAAGTTTTATTTGTACTGGATGTGAATCATTTGCTGTATTCATAAAGTTGTTGTTCAACAGCTGAAGGCAGGAAAAATGCTATTTCTATGCTATGAAGGAAGTCTAAATTAGTTAAATTTTTAAATAAATACAAAACATCAACATAAGAAGAACCTGAAAAGGTGACAGAACTTAACAAAAGACTAATTTACATTTTTGTTCATAGTTGGTTATAATTAGAGTTTCCTGTGGCGGAAGACTTATTCTGTTCATCTGTTCTGTTACAGTGGTTGTTGGTCACTGAGTACACCAGTGTCTCATCTACTTACCGTAATCTTGATGATTTTGCTTTGTTTTACTTTTCAGGAATTATTTGAAAAACTGTTCTCTCCTTATGGAGGTAAAAACGACAGAAGCTTCATTTACCTGCGAACTTTTCACAGAGTACGAGTAACATTTGACAACGAAGAGAAAGCCAGGGAAGCCAAGAAAGATCTTCATGGACAACTTTTCTTGGGTTATGAACTTGGGGTCTTTTTTGTCCAGGTGACTAAGTTGTTGTTGTTGTTGTTGTTTTTCTTCACATGTTTGTGGCTTCTTCTTTTCTTTATGGAAGGTGCAGCCATTATATAATGGTTTGTGTTAGTGAGCCAGTCAGTAAATATTAAGTAATTTTTATTTCAGAGTAAGAATACATACAGTAGGCAAAAGTTTTGTTCCAAATTTCGTGCACCATGATTTTTAGGCCAGTTAAATGCTATGTACTTTAAAATATTTTATTTTAAGCAGATTTCTAGCTATTGCAAAGCAATTAATGTCAAAATGAGTGATTTTTAGAGTTTATTCTAGAAAATATGGTCCAATTAGATATGGTCCATCTAAATGAACCTCCACAGGAAACCAAATACTTAGCCTAGTTGTTGTTGGGTTGGCTTAAGCAGTAAAAAATCCCTTTTATATTAAGTACACAATGTAAAAAAACCCTTCTTTGTACCGTCAAAACCTTAAATTCCTCTGAGTACAGCCCAAACTACATTGCAAAAGAAGTGTGTTACATGTATGTAAAATAAACAAAAAGTATACAGTGGAACCCCTGCTTTACAGACACCTGCTTAATACAGACACCTTGTTCTTACGGACAGTTTTATTTGTCCCTGGGGAAAGTGCTTACATTTTCTCTAAATTCAACCTGCTTAATATGGACACTAGTTAATGCGGACAACAGACACTTATTTCTTGCCCAGTCAACAAATTCTCATACATGTAAAAAGCCAACCTCGCTAATTTGGACACTTCATTATCAATTGTGTGCTGTAGAAGACCTTTCCTTTTTGAAGGGAAAAAATCCTACAGTTGACAGCAGCATGTTGTTGCTCCCAGTGCTACCATACACGAGATAGAATGATTTGTAGACGTCAATTTTTGGCAAGAAATGCAGAGAACGGTTTTGATTAAGTGATAATTATAAATGAGTGATTTTTAAGTGCTTCCATGGACTTAAGCCTCATAATGACAGCTTTGTGAAGGTTAAAGAAGTTTAATTTGACGACGCTTACACTGTATGTCTTCTTTTTTTCTTTGGTATTTTGTTCTAGTAAAAAGGGGTTTTTTGACTTTAATAACATGAGCCATTTAATACAGACACCCCTTTAATACTAACGCTTTCTGTTGTCCCTTCAGTGTCTGTATTAACAGGGTTTGACTGTATAATTATGTAGTAGTTATTACGGTGAACTCCTTTTGTTGCAGACACTCTTGCAACTTTAAATTATTAGTCTTGCTTGCGTAAGCAGCGAGACTCATAATCTGCAACCCATTTTTCTTCGTATTTACATGTGTATGACACTAAAGTGGGTCATTATGCCAGGCGTTCCTTTCGGAGACTGTGGAAACCGGGAATAAGAATCATTGCATGACCGAAGCCATGCATGTTTTGCAAAGTGAGCTTAGGAAAGATTAAATTTAGAGCTTTTCCGAAATGTGTTGGTCCACGAATTCTAGCGCTTGAGAATGTTGATTAGTGAGGAACAAGTGAACACTACTGAGTGATTGAAAAAAATAAGAATCGTAATCAGCAAAACTGTGATGGTCGGGTGTTGTAAACTTTCATTGCATGCAAATGGGTCTTGTGATGAGCATGCGGTTTATTATCGGTGATGATTGAAATGACGTCCCATGTAAATCACCTTTTTGATCTCTGGCAATGATGTAATTTCTCTGGAGTCGAGGCCCTTGATTTTGGTGTGTTTATACACTCATATAGCCTGGGACCGCACATGTATTTCTGGTCATCATTAACACGCATACTAAATCAATTCAGAAACAAATGAAAAGAAGAATACTCGACTTCACTAAAGTAGGAGGTAAATATAAAACCTTTAGCGAGTAAATCCTGTTTCGTGTAGAATTAATCGCCTCCTCATTTCTCGATCTAATCTCCAAACAAGCCAGACTGAATGCTGCTGTAAGATCGTTCTTGTTGTTCTCATATGCGAAAGTCTGCAATAGCTGGAATTTTTTAAGTCAAACATTGGTAATGTTTTTGGGGGGGTGGGGGCTGGGGTGGAATCTAGCACCTTTTTTGCTCAGAGGTGTCTGTGATAGCAAGGTGTCTGCAAGGCAAGAGTCCAAAAGAATTGATTGTTCTCAGTCCACCCTTGTTAAATGACCACCTAAAATGCTCAGATTGTGTTTGTTGGATGCCTCTGGGGCTGGTCACTCACATGAACTGCCAGAGTGCAGTACTTTACCTGGCAAAAAGAACTGGTATTTTAAATAGGTAGTACATGTAGCTCTCAAGAAAGTGCTCCAAGCTGCAACCATTTTGGTCTCCGTGGTGACTAAATATTGTAGTGAAAGTCACTAATTTGACAACCTGTATCTGGTTTTTGTGTGCCAAGCTGTAGTGATTTCTACAAGTGTAGTTATGTTTACAAAGTGAGATAAAAAATAGACCAGCCTTCTAGCCTTCCAGTGAACATGAGGCTAAAGTTGACCTTGTTTTGATACAAACATCTCTCCTCTTCTTATGGAAATTTTGCTTAAAAAATAAGTTACAGTAGTTAGAATAAGAACAACATGATTTACATGATAAAGCAGGAAGGGTTGTGTCAAAACAAGGTCAACTCCAACCTGGTTTTCACCCGTAACTGTA